ACTGTTGTTTATCAAAGAAATCATGCATGATTCCTTCAAGTTTGAATAAGAGTCTAGCCAGAAAAAATATTCTTGGAATATTCTTGGTGAGGCAATCACTTCATTAAGGTTTTTTTTTTTGTTTTGTTTTGTTTGTTTTTTAACTATAGTCCTCCATTGAACTGAGCCTGGAGAATTTTATACAATAGGTCTACTATAAATCTAAGGTATGTACGATTCTTTGTATGTAATTTCCTTCTTTGTTCTTTCTGCTTTCAGTATTGTGTCTCTATGATATTTGATATTATGATTAGGGCATATCTTGGGATCTTTATATTGCGTTTTTTTTTTTTTTAGCTCACTTGCTTTCATTCTTGATTCCCTATGGTTAATCTCCTTTCAGAGTGAACATACCACTTTTTTTAGACTTTCAGCACATTGAAATTATAATATCCAGAAGAAAATAAGACAAATTGTACATTATATCTAGGTATTATACATTAATACTCAGAAGTAATACTAATCATGTGTAGTCAGACAATATTTATAATGAATATATTCATTTATACTTTTATTTTACTTGTATTACATTACTTGTATTACAGGTAAAATTAAATATACGTTACTTGGGATGACAATCTAGTTCTTACATTACCTGGATCTAGTTCTCTACTTTAACTTCAATCTTTACAATTCTTTCTCTAATTTATTCTATCAAACACTGGCTTTCCTCTCTCCTCTTTCTCTTCTCAAATGTATAAATTTATTTCTTCTTTAACAATCTAATTTTTATGTTCTCTTATGAAGAAAGCTCTTCCCTGACCCTTTTTCCATTATTTGCCTTTCTAATCTCCTTTAATCAAGATTTATTTAGTTTCTAAACATTAATTTTACTTTGAAGCTACACCCAGTGATGCTCAGGTCTTTATCTTGGCTCTGCTCTCAAAGATCATTCCTGGCAGAACTTTAAGGACCATATGGGATGCTGGGGATTGAACCCAAGTTTGCTGCCTTCAAGCACCTTACACACTGTACTGGCTCTCCAGCCTCTTCAACTTAAGATTTAAGACTCAAAATATTCAGATAAAATATTAAACTTTGCTTATTCAGAAATGAAAGTTATGAAATGAAATTTATCACAATGGTATATACCACTGCCTCACCATATATATATATATGTATATATATATACACACACACACACATATATACATGTACATAGACATATATTTGGGGTTTTGGTGCACCTTAAGGTACTCAGAGATTATTTATAGATCTGTTCTCAAAGTGAACCCTGACATGTTCAAGGGACTGTTTGTGGTATTGGGGATTTGAACCAGGTTTGCAAGCCAATGCCAATGTAGTCACACACAAGCAAAGCACCTTGCTTCCTGTACTATAGCTCCTGCGGTGCACTACATATGTTTAATGTGCTTGTACTTTGCCCTCTATTAGAGGATCATGGATGAATTAATTGAATCAGCACATTTAAATGTGGGATAAAAAAATTTGAATTTTTGTTCGATTGTTTTATTCTGGAATAGTGCTCACACATAGTAGTAGAAGTTAAATAAATACTTTGTAGTGAATAAATTAATTGTGAATGGCAGACATCCCAAGTACATGGTACATATATATCTGAAGTCAGTCATTCTACACTGAACAACTTTTCTAGATGTCGGCATTGGATACTATCTCCAAAGGATAAATACCATGGATTGTCCTGACTAGCATCTAAAAATATGTGTTATGATAAAATGTAATAAAAAAAATGAACATCTTTGGGAAATATAATACTTAGAATGAAACCCTTTGTATTCCAGCAAAGATTCTGAGTGACATGTACAAATGCAAGAAATTTACACTTCACTCACAAAAAATAAAGTAGAAGAATCTTTTTTAAATTTCATGGGAGGGTCATACCTGACATGCTTGGGGCTACTACTGGCTCTGTGCCAAAGGGTGTGTCCTAATGGTGCTCAGGGACCAAAACAGGAATTGAAACAAAGCCTCATACATGCAAAGTTTGCGCTCAGTTGATTGAGCTATTTCTCATGGCCAGGAATGTTCTTTAAGAGAAATTGGTCTTGATTTTTTTTCACTCAAGGAAATCACATGAGAAAAATGTTTTCAGACGTTTATCAAAGGTTGTAGGTGCAGCAGGAGTTTAAAAATTATGGGTCTGGTGTTCATCTATTGTTATTGTGCTTGGAAAATATCCAATGGAGCTTAGGGATCCATTTTGTGCTCAAGGATCATTCTTGGTAGTGCTCAGGGAGCTGTGGTGCTGTGCATGGAACCACAGAGCCACACGTGGTGTTGTGGATGAAACCTGGGGTTGCCACGTGCAAGCAAGTGCTTTATCAGATGTACTATCCAACCAGTTCAGTAGTCCTGCTTTTGAAAGGAAAAGTATCATTAGTAAGTATCCAGGTGATAGAGAACTCAGTCAGCCTGTGTTTCACTCTTGACCTTATTCTTGTTGTAGGATAAGTCTGAATGTGCCTTAGATTCATTATCTAAAAATTCATGAAAGGTTACACCTACCGGAAACAAAGTGCTTCGGTCTAGGTACATGGAAGTTATCCAGTGGTTAGTTTGGGAGTTTGAAAATAAATTATACTATATACTGCTTTGCACAGAGACAGTGAGAAATTGTGTAAGCAGAGGGACTGCGGGACTTGTGTTTATCATCAGTCAGTCCTCTGAAGTGCTTTAGAATGTAAGCTTAATGGCTTATGCAGGACGATATTTAGAATGCATGTTGGGGGACTCAGCAGATTCCTTATATTCATATTCTTTTTTTATTTGCCCTTTCTAGTCCCACAGATATTTATCAGTATAAAAAGTAAGGGCATAGTGAAGTATATAAGACATTACAAGTTTGAACTGTGCACAAATTATCGAACCTCTTTGAGTCTCATTTTTATAAAACTAATGATAGTATAACAGTAACAATAATTGACATTCATTGAAGATCCACTCTATGCTGGTACTGGTCATAGAACTTGCTCTATATTAGTTCTTTCTGTAAAATACTTTCTTTGGAGTTTGTTGTTATAATTAAGAGAAATAACTCAGGTAAGTTCTTGGTAAAACCTCTGATCAATGATAATGAGTTCTCATAACAGTCAGTTCTTTTATGGTTATTGCAACTATTATTATTTATTCAAATAATCATTGTATTGTTAATATAAGTGTTCCCTATGACAAATATAACTCTAAAAGAATTTTAAAACTTTTGGTTCAGAGATGGAGTCTCAAGGCTTTGTAATATTCCACGATTATCCTCAATCTGAGTCAGTGTCTGACATAGATCAGTCAGTGATTGAGAAAGATCAGTAAAATTAAATAATATTCCAAGTGATATGGATACAAGTAGACTTTTCAGAGGTGTGTGGAAAATATGAATATTCTTTAGATTCTTAACATATTTCAGGGTTTAAACATTATAGAACTACTCCCTTAAAGGGAATGCCACCCTGTGAGTAATTAAATCCTATTAAGAATAGCAAAAAAAGAAGGAAAAGGAAGAACTGAATGAGCTGGCTCTATAAAAAAAAATGGGGACTTGGGAAAGCCTTATTCTGTTCTCTAGGTTTAAATCTAAGAGGGTTCCTATTTCCACCTGGAAATTCTCATTTGGTTTCTCAGGCCATTTACATGAGACTCTGTGGTTTGACTTGACTCTACCATTAGACCTCCTGGATGATTCAATGTCAAATTAATTTTGTTCTGGTTTTACAGGAATCAGAGAATGTTAGCACTGGAAAGAAGCTTCTGCATAATCTATTTCAGGGATTTCAAATTTGTAGCAGATGCATCCCTACTCCCTTTCCTGCACCATGGACCACATCTCTAATTGAGGACAGCGCTTAACATCTGTGTCTGTCTTTTAAGTCCTTTAAAACACAATGTGCAGTCACTACCAATTGATTGAAACTAGCATTCACTAGTATACCAGTTTCCCAACCATGCCTCTAATCTATAGACCTCTGATGACTGTTGGGAAAATTAAGATGGCATTTATCATGTCTATGGATTAGACCAATGGACTGTGAAGTGTGAACAGTTTTGAGAGATAGAGAGTTGTGGTGACAGACATTTAAGCATCAAATATCACTTGAACTTGGGCCTGAACATAATTTATTTCCTGATCTTTTATAGAGCAAGGAAAGCTTTTTTCAATTGTCATTTACCTTAATGAAAAAAAATACAAATAAATTAAAGTTTTATTTCAAAAGCTGTCCTTTTAAATTTTTTAGTGGTTCAGATAGTTACACAAACCTTCAAGTTTCTGGCCACTCCTTTTCTTTTCTAAGCATACTTAAAATAAACAGCTTAGTAAAATTACCCATGTAAGTGTTGAGGCTGTTAAAATGAGCTGAGAGTAAGTAAGAAAATTTCTGGGCCTCAGTTTCCCCTACTGGAATAAAATGATATGGGACACCATATAGGAGGAGAATACTGGTTTCCTCATATGTGTGAGATTAAAAAATGGCTTACTTTTTAGTAGAGGATTATGAACATTGTTCATTTTCCCCAAGAAATATGTATATGCATTTATGTTTGAAGGAAGTAATATTTAAGTTGACATGAGAATGGCTGCTGTCTGGGGGAACACCTGAAATCAAGGACACTTCCATCTTTTGAAATCTTACGTTAAAAAATATCAACCTGACTTTAAAATTATTAAACACCTTTGTAGCTTGTACAATATAAAATGTACAATTTTAATTATACAAAGTAAAATTACTCATAAGGCACAGTATAAAAACATAGTTTGCCTTGCACGCGGCCAACCCAGGTTCAATTCCCAGCATCCAAAATGGTCCCCTGAGCACCACCAGGAGTAATTCCTGAGTGCAGAGTCCGGAGTAACCCCTGTGCATCGCTGGGTGTGACCTCCCCCCTTCAAAAAAAAAAACAAAAAACAAAACAAACAAACAAACATAGTGACTGATTTCTCTAATAAAGTTTCCATGACGTTCTACAATTTAGAATGAAGGCATCTCTCTGCACTAGAAGGGCATACAAGGTATGAGCCTTGTCATACTTTTCTGTTGAGTCTGAGAAAAACTGGAGAAAATTGGAGCTTTTAGGCAGACTTTTGGAGATCAAGTTCAGATCCAGACTAGCTTATTTTTTTTCTTTTCAGAGTGGTATGTGTGAGTAGAGGAAAAAGAATTGCCAACTATGTGGCCATACCTCTACTCTTTAAAAATCCTATATGCTAAGTAAACTGGCTTAAATCCCATTCTTCTCTTTCCTTTTACATTGTACCCTCTTTGTACTCGAAAAGTTACAAGTTATATAAATTAGAAAGTAAGCCAGTATTATACAAGAATGTATTTATTGGCTGAGTAATAAACCTTAATTAAAGGAGTTAATAGAATTAGAATTTCCCTCTACTTGAAGTACAATTTACCAGATGCAGACAGACAGAAACAAAAACCCCAACTAGAAAGAATACATTGCAACCTAAATCATAAACATGTAGGGTAGTGTAAAACAATCTACTTTTTTTTTTTTGCAGAGGACTACAAAATGATGACATAGACATAAAATTAGAAACATTGCAAATGAGCATATAAATTGGAGTCTGTGGTTGCCACAAAGCTGAGCTCTTAAATGTGGCTACAATAACTGCCACACATCCACAGAAGTCCCTCAGACATCTCCCTGCAACAGATGATTTTCGCACATCATTTCTAGACAATACTCTTTACCCGAAACAAAATGCTTAAAAACAAAACCTTGGAGACCTTGGTTAATAAATAAGAGAAAAGGAGAACAAGATAACTTCCATCTTCTGCCAGGCATGCAGAACTGCCCGTGAGAGTTCATCTGACAAACAGGCAGCTTTGACAGCTTTCAGGGCCCAGGAGAGAAGACTGAGAAACAAAGGCGAGATGCACTTCGCTTTGGGGACACTTCCACATGTCACCTTTATCAGTCCCCACTGCATGTGTCCTTCTTGGTGCAGCTGAAACATATTTCTCAGAGTTATAAAGTCTGTTAGGGAAGACATATAGCTTTAATTTGTTCTTTTCAGGTGATAAGTCCAGGGCAATCATAGAAATGACGTGTCAACACCAAACCAAACCCCCAAAGGACTCAGCATTCTTTCTAATGATGGCTTCAAAGTATTCTCTCCATGCAAATCTGAATATGAAAACAAGTTAGTTATCAGGGAACCCATTGCCACTTCTTCTGTTCCCCCTCCTGCTCCACTGGGGTGGGGCTGGTTTGCTGGTCTCTGCCTTGCACCTAAACTTTCAGATAATCGTTTTTCAGCCTTCCAAGCCGGGTCCCGTGGCTCCTGATGGTCAGGGCCAACAGCTCGTACTTGTCTCTCAGACCCACGGAGATGTCGAGCGTTTCCTTCAGCAAAGACCTAGTGTGGACCAGCATCCCCAAGAAGTCTTCGTTGAGTTTGCTCTCCTGCCGGCTGTCTTGCTCCTGGCCCTGCTTGAACTTGCTTTCCAACTCCGTGAGGGACTTGTCTGAGTTGGAGTAAGCATCCCCGATCTGGTGCGACTCCCGTCGCAGGTACTTGCCATAGCTCTCTTCCCCGTCCAGATCGTAAGAGATGCTCTTACTGATGCCCTCCAGGACGCGCCCAGCATCCTCCACCTGGCGGCCCAGGACTGTGAACTCCTCCCTCAGGGTGAGGCTTAGCAGACTGCTGGCCTGGCTGCCCTCCCCCTGAGAGCAGCGCCGCCGGTCACTCACCCTGAACAGTAACTGGCACTTCTCGGGGTCGTCGTTCTCCTCGTAGTCCCCGTCGGGCACGAAGTAGTGGTGCAGAGTGCCATTGGACATCTCCGGGTACAGGGGACCGTCGAAGTAGCCCTGACACAGGTGATAGAAGAAAGCCATCCAGAGGAACTTCAAGAGCACCATCCTGGAGAGTTCAGGCTGGAAACCCTGGAGAAAACTTTTTGGTCCAGGCCGGAGGAAGGGGATCCCCTTGGAAGTCAGGGCCTCCCCAAACAGGCGTCTGCGGCCGTCGCTGTCGGCTTGCAGCACGCTGGCTCCTCCTCCGCAGCTCGCTGCATGGGGCTGTGGCACCAACGCCCGGTGGCACGGCTGGTAGCGCAGGATGCGCGCTCGCTCTGCCCTGCACTCGCCGCGCGCTCTGCGGGTGGCTGGAGCTCGGCGGGCTCTTTGCCTGCAGGATCCGGGTGCGGCCCGGCCAGGGCCAGGGGAAGCCCCTCCTCCAGGGGGTCCGCCAGCAAACCGGCGGGTTTTACTGCCCAGCTCACACTTTGGGGTTTCCCTCGAGCTCCGGGAAGTTGCAACCTGTAACTGGAGAGAGAGACTCGGTCCTTCTGATAACTATTTCAACTCCAGGACTGACTGAGTGGGAATGAGGATCTTTTCCTTGGGCTAATTGATATCCTGAGGAATTTCGGCTCTCAAATTACAGCTGGTTTCGTCACTTGGAAGCCTGGGAAGAAGTTTGGAAGGAAAAAAAAAAACTCTCACCAGGTCTCCGTTATTAAAGGTACAGGGTCTCTTTTTAAGGACGAGAGCCTGTAACCTGGAATTTAGCTTGAAGGAGAAAAATGGGACGAGGTGATAGACAATTCCTACAATGAATGATGGGGTTGCTGTGTCCCCAACCCGACTTTTGCGTTTATGAGGAAGGGGCAATTCTGAGTTTGTTGAATATGTCTATTTTAGGCACTGAAAGTTTGTGACTTTGCAGGTCAATTGGAAGAAGGGAATGGACATTTTGTTTGAAAAATGGTTAATCAAAATGTATAGTAGTAGTACTTTGTAAGCAGTAGGAGTACAGAAAACCGACTAATACGTGGTGTGCTAGTAGGAATAAGACCAAAAACCAATAAATAAAATTTCACCAATTTATTAAACATATAAACAACAGAGACGATTTTATGGAATTTTCACTTGTACAAAACTCCATGATAAATTCCTGAATTGCATCTTTCACCTAACAACTTGATACTTTGGGATAGTTAAGAGTTTTTGAAGAGTACAAGGCTGACTCTGATATACTCATTTCCAGGTGGAGAAGCCAAGGAACACAATGATAAGCAAATTGTAAATAGGCACAAAGTTAGACTGTAGTTGAACCTGCATTTATTTAAGTCACTGGGTCTTTAAAATTTCAGTTAAAAAAGCATCCCCTCCCTCACCCCCACCCCCGTGTCATTTTAGCTTCTGATTTATGAAATGCCTTCCTTCAGGCCATCACATTTGTTCAACAGATGTTTATTTAGCATTTCTTACATATGGGAGGGTTTTTTAGGTGATACAAATAGGGGTGGAGATAGCACAGCAGGTAGGGCGTTTGCCTTATAGGCCTACTAAACTGACCCAGGTTTGATTCCTCCACCCCTCTTGGAGAGCCTAGCAAGTTACCGAGGGTATCCCGCCCACTCGGTAGAGCCTGGCAAGCTCTCCATGGCATATTCGATATGCCAAAAACAGTAATAACAAGTCTCACAATGGAGATATTACTGGTGCCCATTCAAGCAAAATCGATGAACAACAGGATTCTCTACCTGCTTAGAAGTATAACTGAAGTGCTCATGCACTTTACATGGATTGATATTTATTTCCTTCTCTGTGTCAGAGGGGTTGGTGTCATTTAGAGAGAGAGAGAGAGAGAGAGAGAGAGAGAGAGAGAGAGTGTGTCACGCAATTCTGGAACTGTCACAATTGTCACCACTTTTACTGGTGTAACTCACCCAGACACTTAGACAGGCAATGAGAAGTCTGGTTAAGTAACGAATACTTTGTCGATATGGAGTCCCAGGCTTTTAATTTTCCTGGGATTTTAATATTTTTATATTTTTTCAGATATATATTATCATGAAACACAGAAGAAAGAAGTTTTCTTAGTGTTTCTGTCAACTAACAATGATGCTGTATAGCTGCTGTGTTTCAGCTTCTGCAACCTTCTCCAGTAAAGAAAATGAACTGTTGGACTCAAGAGTTGTATTGCTTCATTTCTTCTTCCCTGGGACATTCACAAATGACAACAGATGGATTCAAATTAGCCACTTGGCAAAGATGGGATTGGAATTTACTGATTCAATCCACTTCTTGCACAATCATTTCCTGATTTACCACCAAATTTAGTTAAGTAAATCTATATTAAGCACCTTTTGCTACTTCTCTCATCCTATATTCAGGACTCAATATTAAATTGCTATGGATATATACACATGCAACAAAAAAAATTAGCCTACAAAGAGGTTTTCTGGTTAGAGGCTCAGGTATATATATATAAACCTGCAGTCGTAATGAGAATGGCTAAGAATATTTGTTTTTCCATATAGACCTCATCTAAAGTTACAAACCCCATGTCACATATCAGGAAAGAATCATTTTGGTACAAATATCTGAGAGCACGTTTTAATCAGATTGAAAGAAATGGTTGATTTTCAGAGTCTTGATTACCATTTTTTTGCTTAGACCTGGCCCAGAGCATAGTTGTTCTCTCACATTTTTTTGTTTCTACTTCATCAGCGTCTGTTTATTCTTGGGCAATCTTTTTCAGGATGGATACCAGTAACTTAGGTGGTTGAGAAATTTTATGCCTGTGTTTAGCTGGTTAGACTTTCTGATAAATCAATTGCAGGATTTTCAAATTAGATTTAGTACCTACATTTGACCTGAGCTATGTTACTTACTCATTATCAAGCCAGGCTGACAGTAGCTCAAGGTTTAAGATTAGCCCCTGAGCTTAAGAAATAAGGATACAATGAAGCTGAGGACAGGGTTCCATGCAAACTACTTGGCTAATATAGACTCCTGTTAATGAAGAAGATGGTATGAAAATTTTATTTTGGGGAATTAACTACAAATATTTCCTGTAGCCCATACTTCAGGACCAGAGCGATAGCATAGTGGGGAGAGCGTTTGCCTTGCATGCAGCGGACCTCAGTTTGATTCCTCCGCATCTCTCAGAGAGCCCAGCAAGCTACCAAGAGTATTCTGCTTGCACAGCAAAGCCTGGCAAGCTACCCGTGATGTATTTGATATGCCAAAAAACAGTAACAACAAGTCTCACAATGGAGATGTTACTAGTGCTCTCTTGAGCAATTCGATGAACAACAGGAAGACAGTGCTACAGTGCTATCCCATACTTCACCCCTTTGTAATAGTGTATTGGTAAATGTTTAACGCTGACCCTAGGGGGAGATAAGTCTCTTTTGTGGCATTTTCTAGATTTTCATGCTCCCACAACAACTAATTTTATTGAATGTAGAGTGGGAAGATTTACAATTACACAGCATTTTCATCATACAAATACATCAGTTGTAGTTATCTATGGAGCCAGAAGATAACAGTATGTTGTGAACGTGTTATAACATAACATAACATGGGGGAGGGGTCTGATCAATTCTCTAAATATTTGTCTATTAATCAGAATAGACTGTGTTATGCCTACACCAAATAACATTAAAATGCTAACCCAAATTCAAGTTTACAAGTCAAGGTGCCTTTGTAAGTATCTTCGATGAGAAAATACTGCTGTACCACTTACAATATGAGAACTTCTAGGCTGATATTATTGAAGGAAGAGGATCCTAGGAAGTCTTGTGCTACACTTATAAGAGTCACGTATCACTTTTGTATACTAATTGTTGACTGTCAAACAAAAACACTGTCCTCCCGTTGTTCATCGATTGGCTTGAACGGGCCCAGTAACATCTCTATTTTGAGACTTGTTGTTACTATGTTTGGCATATTGAATACATCATGAGTAGCTTGCCAGGATTTGCCATGTGGGAGAGATACTCTCGGTAGCTTACTGGGCTCTCCGAGAGGGGCAGAGGAATCGAACCCAGCTTGACTGGGTTGGCTGCGCACAAGACAAACGCCCAACTGCTGTGCTATCTTCATAAAAGTGATTAAGACAGTACACAGAGAGGGTAGATATTGTTAGCATGTGCCTAGATTATGACAATTAAATGGGTAGCACTGTAGCACTGTCCTCCTGTTGTCCATCAATTTGCTCGTGCAGGCACCAGTAATGTCTCTATCCATTCCTCTTGCCAGGCTCCCCAAGAGGGATGGAGGAAATGAACCCGGGTCAGCAGCATGCAAGGCAAACACCCTACCCACTGTGCTATTGCTCCAGCCCAATTAAATGGGTAGAAGTATTAAATGTCTCTAAACATATTTTCCAAGAGAAAAAGCACCGTAGACATTCTCTGGAACAGAAAATGAGTGTGTATGTTATAAATGCATAAGTATGTGTTTTTTGCATATTTTATAACTTTGCAAAAGTTATAAATATGCTCATGGTCATGGCCACGGTCCTCCCGTTGTTCATCGATTTGCTCAAGCGGGCCCAGTAACATTTCCATTGTGAGACTTGTTGTTACTGTGTTTGGCATATTTAATACATCACGGGTAGCTTGCCAGGCTCTGCTGTGCAGGCGAGATACTCTCAGTAGCTTGCCGGGCTCTCCGAGAGGGGTGGAGGAATCAAACTCAGGTCGGCCATATTGGCTGCATGCAAGGCAAACACCCTATATTGCAATGATATAAATATATTGTACAATAGTGAAAATTATTTCAATATTTAGTCAGAATGGGCAAGAGCGATAGCACAGAGGGTAGGGTGTTTGCCTTGCATGCAGCCTACCTGGTTTCAATTCCTCCACGCCTCTAGGAGAGTCTGGAAAGCTATGGAGAGTATCACAAACGCAGGGCAAAGCCTCTCCGTGATGTATTCAATACATCAAAAACAGTAACAACAAATCTCACAATTTGTTGTGAGACATTACTGGTGCCCACTTGAGCAAATTGATGAACAACGGGAGGACAGTGCTACAATGCTACAGTCAGGATAGACACAGCTTTTGCACTCATGTATTTAGTCCAAACCGAATCAGGAGGCAAGGGCTGTGGGCTTGGGTGAATGAGGGAAATGGAGACAAGAGTAAGAATCTTAAGAAAGTGCAAGAATCAAGTACATGAAGAAGGGTTCCAGGAAGTGGAGGTGGGCTGGGGGTGGGGCATAGAGCATGATACAAGATAGAGGGCTGCAGATCAGCTTGCTGGGATGATTCTGAGGATAGAAGTATTAGAATTTTTATGTAAGGGGAGGAAACAATAACTGACACTTAAATCCTTACTGAAGAGATGCAGTCACTGAAAATGATCACAGGCAAGATCAGAGCAGGGTGCTGTAAAGAAATTGGATGAAGCATTTATAATGCTTAAGCCAGAGCATTGTTTAGAATCTCTG